GCGATTTTTTTTTACAATCAAAGCACATGAAGCCTTGCTTTTTGAACAAGCTTTCATAAATCATATTTATCTTATGTTTTTTCGTCACTTAAGCAAGTTTCTACGTGAATGAATAGAAGTTAGACTGATCTTTTAAGAAACATTTCCATAGTCGAATGAATGAAATCACGTTTTCTGAATCAAGTATGACAGGATTAGCTGGAAATTACTGACCAGTGATTCTTATGGAAATGTACATTAATTTAGTGTTTACATATTACATGAAACCACATTCTAGAGAATTCATTAATTCTGTATCTATGTACAGAAGAAATTGACGCTACATATATATTATAGTAAAATTTTGGAAGAATTACCAGATTCTACTTCATTTTGCGTACTAATATTAGTATGGAATGGTTTCTTTACTGAACATTCACATATGTAGTGGGAATAAAATAAAAAGGTTGTTATAAGTGCGTGACAGGTTTTAATAAAAGGGTTGGAAATTACAGTAGAAATCCATGTAATATATATGCAATTGAAAATTATCGAACTGCATAGTCTTTGATGTTAAGGTACAAAATATTAAAAGATTCAATAGGTAAAAATGTTTTTTTTTATAAGAGTTAATCAATTGAAACAAATTTATAACATAGTTCAATTTGGTCGTAAGAATAAATACTAACTGCTTTGTCAGTTTAAAGTGAGCAATGAAATATATCTTAAAGATCTTTGCTCCAGATTATATTGTCTCGAGATTTGTGAATACTGAAAAAGGAACATCTACGTTGCTTCATGGCTGTTTGTAGCTCTTCTAGGGCTACTGCTTGTCCAAAATGTGGGTGAAGGAGGAGGGTTGGGCATGGGTTCGGTAACCCCATCCTGTAGAAAAACAATCTTGCTAAAAAACACTAGCCACAATTAACAATTTAAAACTTAAACTCTGCCCTGGGAGTTAAAAGAAGATTTATGACGCCTCAAGATGAAAGCCAAGATTCTTCCGAAGTAATGAGGTCAACTCTTCCTTGTAAAAAGCAGAGCAACAATTAATATAGGTACGTGGAACGTCCGGACAATGTCTGAGACCGGGAAGACCAGTCAGACAGCAAAAGAAAAGGGGAGGAAACAACTTGGCGGTTCTCGGAATCAGCAAAATCCATTGGAAGCAAGCTGGACAGAAAAGGATAAATTCGGTAGAGATGTTGTTGTACTCTGACCACGAAAAGGAAAATGCTTAAAACACTCAGAGAGTTCCTCTGATGCTGTCCAAAGAAGCACGAAATGCACATATAGAGTGGGAATCTCATGGATTCAGGATCATCAAATCATCCTTCAAAACAAAGAAGGGGGGAATCATGATGAATACCATCCACTGTTATGTACGCAGTAATGATAGCAATGAAGATAATAAAGTTATACTCGAGGCTGCAACTGATCATAGCGGAGTGCCCAGCAAACGGCCTGACAATTCTGATGGAAAATCTAAACGTCGAAGTCAGAACTGACAACACCGGGTATGAAGATGTCATGGGACATGGACTGAATGGGAGAGGTGTATGAGAATGGTGACAGAGTTGCAAATTTATGTGTATTCAACAAAATGTTTATAGGTAGTACAATATTCCCACGTAAACGTATACACAAAGATGCACTAGTCTCATCGAATCACACTACACAAAATCAGATCGATCATATTCGCATCAGTAAAAAAATTACGATGTCAGTTAAGACGTGAGAACCAGAAGAGGAACTGACATAGATTCAGATGACCATCTACCTGGTGGTTGCCAGGATGAAACTGAAGCTAATGAAGTAATAGACAACTGGACAAACAGCAATACAAAGGTTCAATACATTCTTCCTTCGGAATACTGACAAACTCTACTGATTCAGCTTAACTATCAACAACAGATTTCAAGCCTCACTGTAACGCAATGTATAGTGGCAATCGAGGTCATTATTTCTACTATTATCAACTTTATGGATCACAATGATTTATGAAGGCTATCATTCGAGGGGACAAAATAATGTTGACCGTGCTCAGAATTTCCTCACGTGATTTTGTTTCTACAAACTAACTTGTTTTATAATATACACTGTATTATAGACAAAAACAGCAAAATAATATGATCTGTTACTCACCAAAGGTGCCCAAGGTAATTTTTCTTTATGATGAGATTTCTAGAAGTCTCAGAACTCATAGAAGGTCTTAAATTCGACTCTGTACCGAAGGATAAATTTACACTGTACACTAGCTTTCGTTACTCACTTTTCTTTATTTATCATTTAGTCGAGATTATTTCTTTATAAAAATGTACGTCATAATAAAAAAGAAATTCACAAAGCTTCAGCTTTACGACGAGGGAAAAAGCCGGTTCTTGAACGTTAGTATATAGATCAAATATAATAATTATTTCATATGGTGAACAGCCTGAACACTTTCAAAAAAGTATAAATTGTCATATTCCAATTCTGTATCAATTCAACTTTAAACGTACGAATTATGAGTGACATCATCAATCCTGAAAATCGTAAGTATTCTACATACATTGTATATTTTAAGCTTTCGTCTTGGTTATCATTTCATAAATAATAAAAGCTTATGAAGATAATATAATGAACTATACTTTGCTTAATTTTGATAGTTATATTGAACTCATTAAAAGATGTAAGAACTATGTACACAACTGTACTGTCACAGACATACATGCATGAATTTCCAAAAACAAAATTACATTTAATTGTAGTACAACAACATCAAACTAGAGAAACTAATGAAAACTTACAATTAGAAAGCATCGAAATAATCAACATATAATGACTACTCCTATTATTTTTAAAATTATACTAAACCAATTTCAGGAATTTTAATTTGGAGTTTTTAGTAAAGCATATCTAAATTAGACTTTGACTTTTGATATCATGCAATGAATTTATTGAAATATTAATTAAATCGAACGCTTTACCAACTAAAAACAACTCAGCTAATTTCCAATCCAAAAAAGTATGTATTTATAACTAGGCCATTATTATTATCATTACTATTATTACTATTATTATTATTATTATTATTAGTAGTAGTAGTAGTAGTATTAAATTGATTAAATCCAGTAAACGATTATTTTAATTTAACATCAGATTGAATGTTTTATTTCCAAATTGTATACCTTTAGGATTTATGAAATTTCTATTTTTGGTTTCTTAAACCGGAAATTTATACTTTTTTTAAGACCTATAATTTAATCAGTATAAGTTAGACCTTTTTTCATGAAAAGCGTTAATATAGCAAATCAATGAAACGAAGTTTTGAATATTTAACATTCATATAAGCAAACAGGGGTTTTGTGGAGATTTTAGTAACTTAATAATTGAATTCATGAGTTAATTGAAGGTAGACCACCATGGAAAACAGGAAGGCACTCGATGGCCACTTCATTCTAGTATGGGACTCCTTAGTAGTGCATATCCATGGTCCCGTCTCGTGAGATTCGAACCTAGGACCCATCAGTCTTGCGCGCGAATAATGTTTGCTGCCGGCTCAGTGGTCCAAAGGTTAAGCGTTCATGCGCGAAATTGACAGAGACCGGGTTCAAATCTCGCGAAGCAGGTTCGTGGGCGCGTACTTTTAAGGAGTCCCACACTAGGATGAAACGGCCGTCCAGTGCATTCAGGTTTTCCATGGTGGTCTAGCTTCAGTTGATTCTTTCTTTTGGTGGTCAACTGGATTATGAAAACCTCGACATCTGAAGGAAAACACGGCATACAATGGACAGCTCACAACCAATGAGACGATTTGGACTTCGCAGATGACCTAGCCCTCCTATCACGTACACACGAACAGATGCAGACAAAGACAACCACTGTAGCAACAGTCTCTGCATCGGTAGGCCTCAACATACAAAAGGGAAAACCAAGGTCTTCAAATTCAAAACAGAGAACAGCAATCCAATCCCTCTTGATGGCGAAACTCTGGAAGATATAGAATCCTTCACATACCTTGGAAGCATCATCGATGAACAAGGAGGATCAAATGCAGACGTGAAGTCGAGGATTAGCAAAGCAAGGGCCGCATTGCTACAAGTGAAGAACATATGCAACTCAAAACAACTTTCAACCAGTATCAAAGTGAGGATCTTTAATGTGAACGATAATACAGTTAGTTCTACAGTACGGAACTGAAAGGTGGAGAACTACTACAACCATCATCAAGAAGGCACAAGTATTTATAAATGGTTGTTTTCACAAGATACTCAACATCCATTGGCCGGATATCATCAGTAACATCCTACTGTGGGGGAGAACAAACCAGCTTCCATTTGAAGAGGAAATTAGGAAAAGACGATGGAAATGGATAGGACATATATTGCACAAATCACCAAACGGCATCACGAGGCAAACCCTAACTTGGAATCCTGAAGGGAAGTGAAAAGGAGGAACGTCAAAAGACACATTACGTCGGGAAATAGAAGCAAATATAAAAAGGATGAATAATAACTGGAATGAGCTGGAAAGGATTGCTCACCACAGGGTTGGATGGCGAGTGCTGGTGAGCGGCCTATGCTCCTCCACGAGTAGTGACAAGCGTAAATAATCAAGTAACCATAGTGTTACTGTTTGTTAAGAAAATGTTGGCTAATAGTTTTTTTTCTCTCTCAAAAACATCTCATATGGATATTGATACCTTCAACAGTTAGGCCGAAATTATTCATCTACCTCACATATCTAAACTAAGAAGGTCAATTGATTATACATACTAGTGAAAAGATGTATTATAAATATATCTCAAGATATAGTAAACTAACAAAAAGTTGACTATTTTATATACTTTTTTTAAAGTATACTTCATACTAATACAGTGAATAATAATACTATTTGTATTAAGTTATATGATTCAATCTGAATACTAGAATTCAAAATGAACAGATCAGTAAATGTATAATAACTTTATAATTATTCCCATTTATCTGAATAATAAAATAAGATATCAAAAATAGAGCTTTGGAATTTTATCTGACCAATTAATTAATGTTCATTATATTGTTACTTGGAGTTGGAAGCAGTCGACGTGATGAAGTTGTTACTACATTTGATGTTATTGTTTTGATTGGTTGGTGTGTTTCAATATGCTTTGTTACATTTATATTTTTATCATTATTTTGGTTGGAATATTTGTTAAGTCTCTCATTACAATTGTTATTAGATACATTACTTTGAGGCGTCAAATCGGTATTTGTGTCAGGTTTAGCACTGTTAGACAATGGATGTGATAAGACTTCGTCAACCCATGCTACACTGCGCTGTGTACTAAAATTTAAAAAAAGCACAAAAAACAAGAGGTTAGTTTCCTCCTATTATGTGAATTTTACAAATAAGAATCGGCACATTAATCAGTTTAACAATAATATAATCTTAAAATGTATGCTGTGAATATAATTACTACGTTATTTTATCATTATCAAAGTCAGTGTTTAAAAAGCACTTCACTATTTATCTCTTTAACAGACTTAATTGAATTGGAATATAAATACGAGGACTTATTTGGATGTCGGTGAGACTATAATTTATGGACGATCTTTGACAGACGCGAAATTGACCCTGAGTGTGTTCACTTATTAACCAGGATCAAATGAGGGTGATAAACCTGTGTGAGGAATTACAATTATGATTCACTGTTGATGATTAAGGTTAGAAATTAGGTTTAGTGTTTTCATCACGAACTGACATCAGTTATGATGGGAAAACTCTATTTATCCGAATGAATGAGTATATTTGGAGTGAAAATCCGAGACGTGTTATCTTATTCATGATTGGTTCGTCAATAAATTATAGTCTCGCCTGGATGTCTATTTCAAAGTTCGTCAAATTGTTATCGGTTAAATAAAGCACTTACGAAATTTGCTATTTGCTAATGAGTCAAGTATACACTGATAATCAAGGGGCTAAAATGAGGAAACGTGGTATTATTCCATGATTAAATCTGACGTGCTTGAAGCTGTTTAGAATCTGATTAAGATAAGTCAAGCAACAGGTTATTATTATTATCAAGATTTGAATGGATGTGACGATCATTTATAACCTCTCTATTCATAAACTTCAATATTTTTTTCACTTTCCAACTATGGTAACGTACACTTTATTACCATCCTTTACTTAGTCATTTACCTGTCTACCTCATATACATAAATATAATTACTTGCAAAGCACAATTGTCAACCATTTTTATGATACAGAGTTACTCTGATCTCGATTTACTGTCTAAATAATTACAATTTTACGTAATCTATAAATTCAATCACCATAAAAAACAACATGAGTTTAATTGCTACAAAGTTACTGACTAAAGTGGAGTTTATATACCGTAATTGGTTAATCTATTGAATATACTGTACAAACTGTTATAACTGCAGATTAAAGCATTTGATATGTAGGCCAACCAAAATCTATTTCTCTAAAAACTTGTATTATCTCAAAGTTAAAATGATTTTATCATCATAAATTTTGCTATAACTTGTTTCTTTTTTTTAAGACAAATTACCATTTTTGTTTGGCGAATCGCAATTGAAATCTGAAAAGTATCCTACTGATGGAAACAAGAAAAACGGAATATTGAACAAAGTTTAATATCATATTTATATAGTCCTTTTGATGATCAAATTTTATTGACCATGTTACGGTATGATCAGATGTCTGAGTGACAGGAAATCTCTTGCATTAAGTCTTAACGCAAAACGATTGAAGGTAGGTGACAGGATCCTGTGGACATACAACACATTCTAGTTGTCAATCTTCAACTACATATTCACCAAGAGGAGATTCATTCCCCCCCCCAAGTTTTCACTCACTTCATGTTGGTGAAACACACTCATTTGTGACCTGAGTACAGGACTTCCTTCTGACTTCCTCCGGATATCTAGCAATATAATACTGAGTACACATAGACGTTTTTAATAAACTGCACTTGAGTATTAGAATTTTTAACTGTGTTATGTAGGGCTTTCCAATGGAATAATTTTTTATTGTAGTTCAGTTTATGTATGTTAAACGACTTCCAAAAAAGGAAATAATTTACTTCACAGAAGTAGGTTATGCTGGATAGTTTTTAATGTTGAAAGATTTATGGATCCTAAGCATGAACTCTTTTTTTAATTTATACCCGATAAACTAAAACCTGGTTAAACTTGTTATTACTGATGATAATGATAAGAGAAGCCATATGACATGCATAATGCTAAAAATTTGGTGACGTTCTAATAAAAGCATTCTAACACGTTTACATTTGACTGTACATGATATAAGAATAACTTCATTGAAGTTACAAAATCAAAGCTGTTCTTGAACTACATGTTCTCCAAATTTAGCTAAAGATTTACTACTATCAATACTACCAAATAGTACTTTTTCTTATGTATGAAATTAAGGGTAAACATTCAATCGGTGTATCCTATTTTAGAAGATATGAAACCAAAGAGTCAAATTACGCAGCTGATTTGATAAAATATGACTGTTTGTATAGAGTAAAATCATTTCTTGTATGATTAAACGTTTGAGAGTTGTTAGTTAAGTTTTCTTATAGTAAATATTTGAATTATTTAACTTATTCAGGAGATTATCCTTCTACAAATTTGATATCTATAAAAAGATTTTGTCTTACGATCATCTTCAACATTGTTGTCCAGTAACTGTTTAGATATGTTGTGCAGTATCAAGAATAATGTAATAGGCTCTTCAACCAACAGAAATTACATAATAATTCAACTGCTTGTAAAACTGACTATTAACTTACCTAGAATTTCTATTTGTTTTATTACTTCTTTCAGACTTTGAACTTTCATTTATCAGCACGCCTTTAATTTGTCGTTTATCACTAATTCCTTTTTTGTCTTTGTATTTGCAAACACTACGATTTTCATGTTGCTGTGAACGATGTGTCTGAATTCCTTTATTATCTATAATTTGGTTATCAGTCTTTATAGGTAATTCTTTAATACTGTCATTCGCATTTGTAATATGTACATGATTTCTAATTGCTGGTTTAACGACTTGAATTGGCATTGGTTTCGATAAATTAGGTTGGGAGTTTGTAAATGTAGCTTTAGGAGGACTCTTATCTGGATAAATATTTTTTGTAATAGTTGCTACACACTGGACAGGGCAGTCGTTAGAAGTATTAGTCCTTGAAGAAACTGTTGAAGGCACAAAATTGGGAGCTAAGCAACATTCTTTACAAAAATTTGATTTATTTAACAGAGGACTTTGTTGAGAATAGTATTGATCATTAACTGATTTTTCATTCGCTACTTTTGATTGTTTGTTTATTTCAGTGACGAGATTTTCCCGTTGGTTACTCTATCGCTTATCTCACAGTGTTTTTGAAAATTCCATTTGTCAATCGCTTGCCGAGCTTGTAATATACGATCAGAAAATCTTTCACATATCCTGCTGGAAGCTGTCAATCGAGAGTTATAGTTCAATTCATTATTATCTAAGGAGTTTTTGGATTTGGATTCTTTCCGTTCATATCCTTTCATTTGCTCTGTTTCACAAGATTTGGATGAATTAAGGTCAGGTATTCTCGTGCATTTTGGCGTATCGTGAAAATAAGTAGATTCTAATGGATTCGCTAGTGTCATTTCACGTGATATAGCTGGAATTAGTAAGCCGCTGTTCAGTAGTTTATTAGTATCTGAAGAAGAGATAGATGGAAATAGATCTGTATTATCTAGGTAGTATGAAGTAGAACTTGGTGCAGAGTGAGGAGGTGGAAGTAGATCTGCTCTGTTACTGATGCAGGAAGGCTGACTGAAAGTAGACTGATTGTAGAATTGGTAGTCATCATTTAGACATTCATTTGAATCATCTTTCTGATAATAGGGTTATTATTTAAATAAAGTATAAAAAATTAAAGCTATTTATTAGCTTTGTTGGATAGAAAAATTTACTTGATATTGTTAAGACTAATTAGATACGCAATCAATATGTTTTTTCTAGGGTGGAAAAAATGTTTTTGGTGGTTTCATGAGACAACAATAAACTACACAATTTACTCTTCCCGTCTTTAGATAGTCAGAGAACATAATTATGAATTCACTGATATAGTTAGACCAAAACATTAGACACTTGTAAGCGCATATGAATGCAAAATACTTACAAACAACATATGTGAAACAAATAACATTTCGCATTTTGGTTTAAATGTAAATGTAAATCTCATACAGAATAACTTTACGAATAAAACAACCATGGCAGCATGTTTACTTTTTGAATATCGTTTCACGTTATTGACCTTTTAAACATTGTTAACTACTACATTTCAAAGGAGTTGATTTTCCAGTTTAAATATTACCTATATTTTCACTTATAAGGAGTGTTTGCTTAGGAATAACACGTTTAAAAATGTACATGCAAAATAAAGAGAACATAGAAATAAACCAATTTGCACGGTAGCATAAATCAGAATAAGAAAATAACTTTAAATATATATGTAACGATTATGCTCTACTGAACACCATTAAGAATGTCAAAAATGCTGCCATTCAAATTATGATATCTACAAGTGAGAAAACCCAGTAATTCAGTTTAGCCTAGAACAACTAAGTAATTTAGTTCAATAGTTGAGATTATGAGTCAGTTGAAGCTAGACCAACATGGAAAACTTGGAAGCACTGGACGACCATTTCGTCCAATTGTGTGACTCGTCAGCAGTGCGCATCCACGATCCTGCCTCGGGAGATTCGAATCCAGAACATATCGTTTTCACACACGAACGCTTAACTTCTATACTACAGCGAGTATCCAACGGTGTCAATGTCTAATTCAAATTAATCCACACCCACCCATGTGTTCAGTGAGTTACTATATCACAACAAACCCAGTTGAGCTCCACTAGTCATTGCTTCTCACTAGAACCCCAGGAATTACTTCTTGAAGGCCGTCACTGGTGAGCATATGCTGATTAGTTAATTCAGTTTAACATAGCTTATCATATTACATATATTATATATAATGCCTTTTTATACCTTGTAACCGTAACAATATTCGTTGTTTCAGATAATCTGGCTGCTGCTGTGTTTATTAAGTATTAGTATAATTATAGTGTATGATGAATTCTACTATGGTGAATGTGGAAAAATATGCTATTAGATTTATTTTAAGAAACTCAGTGAATTTTCTTTCACAGATGTGACATATTCTGTTAATATTACATTACTGATAGGTGTGTCTTTATTTGCCATTTAAAAAATAATCATATAAAAAAACACCATTTCAATTTAGATTCGTTTTGTCTATCTCCAAAAACGTTTTATTACATATACAGTTACAGGTGAATTAATAATAAACTCCTTTTAATGAATAAAAATGATATTATAAATTCCATTTACTATACATGAAATCGTAGGTATGTAATTGATTCAGTCACATGAATTATATATGGGTAAATGTACCATATTTAGCGTTATCATCGTAGTATCTTTCTTCGTGACAAGTCATTATGTAGAAAGTAGGTTGCTACCATACATATCACTTAGTAATGGATTATTAAAATAATGTTTAACAGAATAAGTGGTTAATCGGTAGTATGCACACTAATATATACATATATATATATATATATATATATTTATATATATGTATATATATATATATATATATATATATATATATTAGTCTTTGAAATTCTCTTTCATCTACTCTAGTTAGTTTCTTACCCCCAACGAAATAACCTTACAATTCCCTTTAATTGGGCTTCAATTTTTTTTTGTGATAAAAAGCCAATTTTCTAAATAATATATCCTTGTTACGTAATATGGTAGATCATGACTAACCTTGACAGAGGTACGATTGCGTAACTGTGACCAATACTGTGATTCCATAGACGATATTGATGAATTAAATGCAGAATCATTTTTTTGTTGAAAGTCCTGTTTATAAAAATTATCTGAATTTGTGGTAGGTACTTGACAAACGGATTGTTGAAATGTTCGTTTAAAGATTGTAGCCGCTGTCATTGCTGCTATCATTGCCAATGCTGAAACATTGGATGTAGTATTTGAAATTACATTTTCAGCGTAATTACAACTATCATTATTAGAATAAGTAGGTAAGGAGTTATGTTTCATAAATTTTGGTAAACAAAACTCATGATCTAACCTATTATTAATCAGTTTTCCCTCTGATTCTGCAGTGAAACTGGTTTGACATTCACGATCAACCAATGATCTCACCATGTTTGAATTCAATGGGAAATTGTCAGAACAATGTTTTATTGTATGAGATAATTGTGAAGTTGTATGGAGATCTGGTGTGTTATCAACGAGATGATGTGAAATATTTTCACGAAATTCATAGCAATCTTGATTGTCAGTCTCTTGATAAAGGTTTTCGTTTTTTGCTTTCATCTTCTGTGTTCCATATAACTGTTGCATATGTTGCATAAGTACCAATCTCGATTTCTGGATATAAAAACGTAAATAAATTATTTTAAGACAGATTTTCGAACAGTAAAAATAGGAATTTAATTCAGCATATTAAACCTGAGCTATATTCAATCTATCAGCTTTGTGGCAAAAAGGAAGTGTGTTACTTATTTCACTAAATCGATCTAAAAATGAAACTACATATTACCAATAAAGCATGATGTTGTTATAAATTGGGTAGTTTTGATAACTTGACATGAATATAAACCACGATAACCTCTTAAATAAAGCATTATAGGCTTCGAAATTTACACCATTTCTACATTAATTATGTGTATAATGATTTTTACTATGAACAATACCTAATGCATATACATTTACATCTCTTCAAAACTATCTCTTCATTGTAACTAAAGGATATACATTGACTTCGTATGTGTATATTATTCCCATTCTTATCATGTTACTCAGAAGAAAATATCTAGAATCTAATTGAAGGCTTTCCTATTTCTAAATAGCTTAAACTAAATATCAATCAAGACAAATAACCTTTTACTTATATCTAACGGATTGGATAGCTGATGTAAATCACGCCCAACTAATAAACAATAGTACAACTATCTAGATTTTTTTGGCAAAAGCTAATAAGTTATTTGTCAATCACACCCTTGTTAGTCAAATCCTCTTGAATAAAAAAAATGATTTTTTTGGGAAATTGTATTATTCAGTAAATGAATGAAAGATGGTCAAAGTATTTCTTAGAAGTACTTTACATATCATTTATGAATGTAATTCAAAACTGAAGGAATTGCTTTGTTATTTTATTCTTCATAGTTAAAGTTCAAAATTTATCATGGTTAACATTTCCAAGGACTTATAAGTGATAATAGTGTTGGTAACTAAAAATACCTATATTCTATACTTAGTTTTGTAATTTCAATAGTTGAGATCATGAGTGCATTGAAGCTAGACCACCATGGAATACTTAGTAACATTGAACGGTCATTTCGTTCTATTGTAGGACTTCTAGATTTGTATTGATGGTAAACCGAATAGAAATACAAATTTAAATACCTTTTTTTTAAATATTAGTCTAATGGTTCTACAAAATAACTACCAGATTAAAGTTGATTATTATAATTAAGAAAAGCAACACTTGAATATATCGATTGAGTACATTATTAGTTACATAATTGTAACGGTTTCAAATAAGCTCACTAGTTAGACTGATATATATATATATATATATATATACATTTGTATCAACTGGTCTATTGCATGTGATATTCAATTTATGATAAATATCTATTTTTCATTCCTACTTAAGCAACGAAAAAAAAATTGAAATAGTATAGATAAAAATCAAGAAAGAAAAAAAGAAAAAAGAAAAAGGGAAAAAAGAAAACAAACCTCATTTTATATTCTAGTCAAAAATTTCTATCTTATATTTTATTAGCACGTCATCTGTAAACATTATTTTTTTTTATAAAGAAAGACATTGGTCAAAATTGTTTGATTATAAATTTTCTCTTGTGACTTACTATAAATAAAAACACAAGTAGTTTATCTTAAACAAAACAAATTTGGCAGTAGATTTTCTGACAAGTTTAGTTTTATAATTTAAAATAATAATCATGAACTTCTCGGAAAAAAAACAGTATAGTTTTCAGATGAGAATTCTTTCAAATATTCAAGATGATAAAGATTTGATAGTAATAATTTACTAATCAAGATAACTGAAACACTTGTATTATAAGACTTTAAAATGTTAAATAAATATATCATTTCAATAGTTGAGATCATGAGTCAATTGAAGCTAGACCTACATGGAAAACATGGAAGAATTGGACAGCCTTTTCGTCCTATTGTGAGACTCATCAGCAGTGCGCATCCATGACCCCGCTTCACAGGATTCGAACCTGGGGCCTAACAGTCTTGCGACAGGTGCTTAACCACTAGACCACTGCGTCGGAATCTAACAGCCGTCCAGTGCTTCCAGGTTTTCTATCGTGGTCTAGCTTTGATTGACTCATGATTTCAACTATTGAAATTACTGCAATCTGAAAAAACCTCTTCTGATAATAATTAAATCACTGTCTACTAAGTGTGTTTTATGTAGTAATATCAGTGTTGTACTCATATCGAAATTTCTGAAAATTTTTCCATATAACTAGCAAATGACACATTTCGGTGGTTTAATTATTGCAAATCTCTTTAATGACACGTAAATAATTCAACGAAATAGTTTTTATAATTCTTGATCTAAGAACCTTTAATGGATTTACATTATGATACACTTAAACATCAGTTGATCAATGTATACCATCTATGCAGTGTATATCTGAGATAAATTTTTATAGTCTATAAGACTTCACGTGTATATTTCACTTCACCTGCTTGAATGAAGCTAACCAAATCACAGGAACTGTCGATGCGTATTAAAATAGAAAAGTCAACGAAATCTTGTTAAATATTGTTTCTCCCGTAGGCAAATAACACTGAAAACATATTGAAACTACACATTATTGTTGAGAAGGTTTATCTGTACCTTGTCGGCTCTGTGTACAAAAGAAGGATATTTAGTTTATCATCTCGATCTTGCAATCTGTTTTACAAAATTGCAAGTATATTTGGAATTAAGTTCTCAGATTACGTTAATTGTATTACCTTGTCAGTATTAAGCACAACTTAAGTCCGTGGTGACCGGTTCACTTTTTATTTGTCAAACAAATATTTGTCTGATCTTTGATAGAGGGCGCTGAATGTATGTCCCGAAAAACTCTTATACCAGGACGAATCAGCTGTCATGTACTCCCTGGTTGCAAAAGATACTCAAAATGCTATTCATCTGTGAAGAATACCATCTAAACTTTTGATACTGTCTACAGTCTCTAATTTATTATTGTGACTTAAGAACAGACAAAAATTGATAGAGAGGAGTGGAACGTACAATTTCTATACTCAAGTACGAAGTTTCAGCCCATAAAATTATTTCCAAAGAAGTCCCTTTTAAGTTCTCTATTTTATTCGCCATAAAGTTTGAATTTTCGGAATCCAAGCACCCTTGAACGACTGACAGAGGAAATATTAAACCCAGATCTTCCACTCAATTTTTGCCACTAAGCTTTATTTAACACGAAAATTTATGAGGCTGTGGAATTTGTGTTTATTCACTCAAAAGAGAATAAAAATTTCTAGTTAATTAATGTTTCATTAACTTGAATCACTAACAAATAAAGCATCCTGCAATAGACGAAAGGGCCATTTAATTACTGAAAATACAAAGGACCGACATAGTATAATCAATTACCTTCAAACTTTGTATCCTTGACATCAATTGCAATTGTCGATTTCTGAGAAATTCCAAGCGTTCCGTTAACTGAACGTTATTCAGCTGGTATATTTGTTGAGAGCCCTCGGATGATGGTTCACAGTCATTTTTACACCAGGATGATGAAGTGCTAGAACCAGATATACTAGCGTTATGATGATGAACACTACTGCATGAAGCTATTTTTCTTTGAAGAGCCTGAGGCGATTTGAAGGAACTTTGTGTTATATTTGAATGTTCTTTTAAAAGGCTAATCGCATCATTAGTTTTCACGCTTTCAATTTGCAGTCGTTCTATCTCTTTTATAATTTCCCTGAAATTTGAATATAAATTATTATTCCATCAGATAACTGAAACCAACTACAAAACCACTTTATTTAAATGAAGAAAAGTGGATAATTTTCCCTCAGTTGGGACATACGGCTTTGTAGCCGATTTAATGAAACTTAAAACTCTATGCCAACAAATTGCTAGACCACTTTCAATATGGGGATAAAATTATTTTTGTCAATAAGATACTAGTAGCTAGACCACTTGATATGTTATAGATGTTCAAAATTGAAGTAATTAGTGAAAGGAAACGTAAAATAAACTACATAAGGTAATGCATCAAAGATGAAGATATGAAAAATTCTTGGTTTCTCATCTGCTTAGTAACTGTGGGGATACAATTCATATTTTAGTTTAGAACCCCTTGATTTCACATTATTGATGATATATTTTTATTCGTTATGACCTAACTTTTACATGCAACAATGTTACTAGTTATTATATTACCTTAAGGCATTGTGTAATATTTTACGCGTAAAAGTGTGGATATTAGAATTAACAAGATCAATAGCCTCCTGACCCGTAGTGTTTCTATATGGACCAATAGAAATCTTTGTTTTAACACCATGATTTTTGTGTCGAGTCTATTGCCATATATCCTCTGGACAATCAACATTAGATAACGAAAAGTAATAGTATGAAATTATTATTCTTTCTGACAAAAAAGTAACATCACTGTTCATTACGAATTAGATATTAACGCAAAGTTTTTACAGTTAATGAAATAAATAAAATCGTTGAATGAAATGTATATTTAAAACAATTAGTCCCTTTCGATAAATTTCGATAATACAATGAGAAGACAAAGTTTATTAGAATTATGTGATATATTTGCGCAATACATTTCGAACAATCTGATCACACATATACTTGTTAAGAACATTTATATATGAAAATTACAAAGTCAACTAGACAAGTTAAGGGTAAGTCATAACAAAGGAAAAAATATTAAAGTACACAAAAACAAATGTGATTACCACTCTGGATAGTAAATCAGTACTACCAGGGTAGGTTAAGTGTAAGGATAAAAATTGTTTTTAAACACACAAAGGGGGTTCCAATTTCCGTATAGCCAAGGCTTTAATAAGCCTTAGTATACGTCCTTTAAAGCTTTTGTATAACGCTACAAATGCTGATTTGATGTCAATCTTATGACCCGTCTCAATCAAATGTTTCGCAACGGAGGATGATGCCTGTCTATCCATTCGAATTCATCCGATTCTGCAACCATTTTGTTATATGTTCACCCACCCTTAATTGCAAATCACGATTGCTCCTCCCTACCTACGTGTTTCCACACATACATGTAAATTGATATACACAATGGGATGTGACACAATCGCTTTCGTGCTGTTTAGGCTTTTGGTGAAACATAGACCTTGTCTTTTCGATAATGACAAGTTGGGGTGCATAAAATGTCCTGTTGATAGCTAATTTAAGTCTCCGTTTCAACATAAAACATGAATATCTTGTAAATTTACTAAACAAACTATGAAGCCTTTAATCATTTTCCTATTTAACATTATCATTGTGAAAAAAAGAAAACTAATTACCATAATAAACCTTTGTCTTGATAGGATGCAATTTGAAACAATGAAGTTTAATAAGGTTCAACTGAATGTAGAAAACATCGTCTTCAATAATAACAACAATACGAATAGTTTTACAACGATTTGAGACAAACTACATTTTATTAACATAATGATATTCTTTCTTGTCAAACTGATTATTATTTCAATAAATTAATATTAGCTTTTGTAAAGAAATTAACTAGTGGTCAAATTGAAGATAAATATATATCTGATGGATTTTTTGTGGAGATTGTAGTAATTTCAATGGTTAAGATCATGAGTCAATGGAAGCTAGACCACCATGGAAAACCTGGAAGCACTGGACGGCCGTTTCGCCCTATTGTGGGGCTCCTCAGCAATGCGCATTCACGACCTCGCCCCCTGCGAGATTCGAACCCAAGACCCAGTGGTTTCGCGCGCGAGCACTTAAACACTAGACCACTGAGCCGGCATCCAGTGGTGTTAATGTCGAACTTCAACTAATTCACGAAATTGAGCGACACATTCACCAAATATATATCTAACAACAAGAAAACAACATCTATTTGTACGTGACGGGTATAATTTTTTTTTAAAATGGATGAAGTAGGCAACAAAAACAATTATTACGTTTTATAAAAAGATGTTTGAAAAATTAATAGTGTGAGTGAAAACACAGTAAGCACTAACGTGTTATTTTAGCCAGAATAATATATGTGGGTGAGACTATATATATGCTGTGAATATAATTACTAAATTATTTTTACCATTATCAAAGTCAGTGTTTGAAAAAGTACTTCACTATTTATCTCTTTAACAGACTTAATTGAATTGGAATATAAATACGAGGATTTATTTGGATGTTGATGAGACTATAATTTATGGACGATCTTTGAGAGACGCCCGATTGACCTTCAGAATGTTCACTTAATAACCAGAATCAAATCATAATTGTCAAAAGGGATGTTCTGTAAAATTTATGTTACTTTTTATTGCTTCAATTTTCAAGTTATCTTGGTTCATGTTTATTGCTTATGTATACTGGGATGTCAGATTATGTAGATCAATATAGTCCAAATGTTAAGTAACTACCATACTTTCATATTCAGTGATTACAGTTTTGTGCATAAAAAATGATATTTTTTGGATAACAAACATTTCTACAAATATTTCGCAGATGATTCGAAGCTTCTGTGGATTCGAACTAAAGTTATTATGAATGTCATAGACGTGATCGACATAAAAATTCATGCTGAAAATTAATAATTCATCTGTATAACATTTACTTATTTCGATTGGGCAAAGACTTTTGCCTATAAATTGATTATCGTTTAACACCTAGTCCATGAACTCTTATTGAATTATCAAGTCATAATACCTAGTTCTCTGGTTGAAATCAAAACCATTCAATGTACAAAATTGATTATTCTTTAAAACAAATGATCAAACATCCTAAGAAAGTTTAATGTTTTCTTAAAACCTGAATTTGAATTTTAAAAAGATTACTAAATACACTACCTGTTATAAGCTTCTATTTTAAGTATCATATTCTTTTGTTCCTCTGCGAAATTAGTTGTGGTGACATCACCAGTTGTATCACTATTAGAGATCTAAAATGAAATAAATTATAAAATATATTTATATTTATTAAAGCATGTAATTTCAACAAAGATTTAATTGTATTCTTCAATCGATATTAATGATCATTTTATGGACGGTTCAAGCAATTATACTGGATCATTGCTTTTTCTCAAATTTCGGCTAGTGCAACCAAAACAAATCATGATTAGTCTTCAACAAATTATAATTGGAAAATCTTTATTTGATGTACACTACATTATTTCTTGCTGAGTAACATAATTGCAACGTAAATATAAGACATTTTGACGATAATAATAAGAATATAAGGAGTGTGAATGAACGTGTAAATCCGAGTTTAAGGTTGTGAATTACTAAAAAGAATAAATAATATGATACATTCATAAAAATTGTTAGAGACAGTTGACATGATACCATAGAATATCAGAAATCTTGCATTAATAAAATCTAAATACCACAGGTTGAAATCATGAGTCAGTTGAAGCTAGACCACCATTGAAAACCTGGAGGCACTGGACGGCCGTTTCGCCCTAGTATGGGACTCCTCAGCAGTGCGCATCCACGATCCCGCACCACGCGGGGCTCGAACCCAGGACCTACTGGCTTTGCGCGCGAGCACTTAACCATTAGACCACTGAGCTAGCCGGCATCCAACGGTGTTAATGTCTAACTTCAACCAATCCACGAAGTTGCGCCACCATACACCATTGTCTTCAGTGAGTTGTTATCTCACAACAGACCGGTTGAACTCCACTGATAACGGCTTCTCACTAGAACTCCAGGAGTTTTTCCTGAAGTCAGTCACTAGTGAGCATATGTTGATTATTATCAGAATGGGTTTTGTGGAGAGTATTAGAAATTTCACAGGTTGAAATCATGAGTCAGTTGAAGCTAGACCACCATTGAAAACCTGGATTGGTTGAAGTTAGACATTAACACCGTTGGATGCCGGCTAGCTCAGTGGTCTAATGGTTAAGTGCTCGCGCGCAAAGCCAGTAGGTCCTGGGTTCGAGCCCCGCGTGGTGCGGGATCGTGGATGCGCACTGCTGAGGAGTCCCATACTAGGGCGAAACGGCCGTCCAGTGCCTCCAGGTTTTCAATGGTGGTCAAGCTTCAACTGACTCATGATTTCAACCTGTGAAATTTCTAATACTCTCCACAAAACCCATTCTGAAATCTAAGTACACTTTTAATTTTTCATTTTCACTTTCATCTGTTAAATTACTCTGTGACCTTCTCATATCAGTTATTTGTAAAACAAAAAATAAGGGTTCCTATTCTAATGAAAAGACCACTAGTTTGGATCTAGCAACCATTTGCTCCTAAAATTAACATTTTTCAACGTTTAGTAAATCTATGATGTTTATTGAATTTCTTTTCTGCATCATAATGACGGCTTTCAAAGTTATTAACTTAGGTCAAGTAGTCATTCTGTAGAAAAATCACTTGTACTGATCTAGCTCTTTTAATGTCTTGTGGTGTCGGTTGTTATGTTAAGCCCACATAGCTTATTTTAGCTTCCGGACAAGCCAATTTATTCATCCATCTTGAGTCATATTTTGATCTCGTTAATTATTCGCTTATCAACCTTGATTGTTTTTACATGAGCGTATGTGTTTGCATTTCTCATCTTGCTCATCACATGTTTGTAACTTATATTTATGTGACTATTAAATTGAGTTGGCTCTCAGTGCATATCATTTCATTTCACTGTTTCTCTGATCGTCTGTCTGAAAAAATGAATGTATGAAATAGACGTATTCGAAATTCATTTTCATATTCCACTTATTTACTTCCATTGTTCACCAACGTGAGTTAATTCGATAATAATATACGAGGATTGGCGATATGTATAACTCTATAACTAGCATTATACGATCAAATTGGTCACAGATTTCGGGACACAAAAGTCTTCGTGTAAAGTATAAACGCAGATAACCTATGTGTCACTCAACTTGTAAAATATTTTATATAATTTATCTTATTTCGCTTTAAAATATATGTGAATTGAGATAAGAGCATAAACACTTCACAGAACTAGAAATTATGAAGGTAGTCATGGTGTTTGCATGGACTTGAATTATATTATTCTATGTTGGATAGATTCATGTATATAAAATCTTTAGCAAATGGTAAATTTTTATTATTTAAATTTACTATAAGTGGTTAAACGGTTTGTCACGGGCTACTTACGAACGACAACTTAATATAACATTTCTAAACGTTCAAACTTCATAAAAAGCTCCTAATGGCCAAGTTATTTCTTATGCGAATTTGGGATGGTATCTCTGCACGAGTTATAAACATCTCATCAGCGTAATAATACTTAAATCAGGGACTGCACCTAAAACTGACTTCTGTAACTTAACAGACTATGGTAAGTTAACTGAACTGCAATATCGGATTCAAAAAGCAAGTCGTCTATTATATTTGAAAACGAGGAACCACTAAAATTTCCACGACACGAAGTAAAAATATAATAGACTGTTCACCCCAAAACACGACGACCCTGGTCGAAATTACACTCATTTATATGTTGATTGTACACCCATTTTGACTAGTAATTTATACATATTCCTCTGAGTAATCATCATGTTGAATTAAAAATGGTAGTTTTGTAGTATTGCCCTAATATCCCATCATACCATGTGGAAAATCACTTTATCAAACGGATGAAAATGCAGGAAATAAGAATATAAAAACCAAACATTAAACTTTCCTGGTTACTTTCGTATATTTGTTACATAACTAGACCATACTAAGATACGTATTATATATATTTATAATGACGCACTGATTTTTATCGGTCAGAATAGCAACGAATAAGACTTTTTCATCTAATATAACAATGTACATCGAACAAATGTGTTTCACTTTCCTAGAGAAACATGGCAATAAGTCACCCCGTTTTATGTTTTATTCAATGATCAAGAAGTTAGGTCGAACAACAGAGGTATGTGCAGAAGACTTTTATCTACGTATTAGTACAGTTGTCTTTTAGCTGTGTACCTTATAGTTATAAAACTAATCCGGTTATATACATGATCACAAGAGTTAGAAGAATATCTTCGAAGAACTAAACCTATTACTTAGTTTGATGAAAATGGGTTTACCACAGAAGCATATTTCAGAAGTAAATGGTAAGTCACTAACATGAACCTTTTCTGAGAAACCATGAAAATTGGAACCAAAACTCAACGGAGATATTGCCAATGCGTTTTGCTATTGACGCCCGCTAAATCAAAGGTTATATTATCCCTTCTTCACTTCCTATCAGTTTATAATCTTCACTTACTATTTATTATGATTGGTTATACAGCCTATTTCATTGTTATTATTGATTGATAACTTTCAATATTTGGTTTTGTACTTCTCTAATACTTATATAAATATTTAGGTATACTAGAGTTAAGCCTGATGGAGTTCTAACTGAAGATGTTATTATTCTTTCCTGCGCTATTCGGATAAATTTAGTATTAATATTTTAAATGATCTATCTTCACATTTTATGAATTCTTTACGTTTCCCAGTAGTAGTAGTTATTTTATTCTATATTAAACTAAATACTGCAACAAGCTTTGAAAAGATGGAATGTGGAATCTAGAGCTTGTGCTTCATTTCATTTAGCACTAGTTATCTGGATGTACTTGCGTCCCAGAGTAGAAGCTTACTCTAGGATTCGAACCCAGTACCTTTTGTTTAAAACATCAACTTGTTATCCGCTTAGCTACTGGGTTCAAATAGTCAGTCCCTAGGACTGACCACAATGCAGTCGAAATATCGACATTGTGATAATCCAAATTATTACTAATTAAAGTAACAAACTTAGAATTTACAGTCATGTTGAAAGAACAATTTTTTATCTTTTTATTCGAAAACGACGTCCTTTATCATTTATCGCAAATTATCAAAGGTAAGCTTTATATAGTACAAGAACTTTGTGTCTAGTTGTCATCAGTTACTTTGAAATGAAGTACTTGAGATACTCAAACTAATTTGTCTTTTCTTTGTTACCTGGTACGACGATTGTAGTAAACTAGAAGCTTCTGATTTTATCACTATCATCCAACATTATCATAAAACATTTTGTTCGAAGTGACGGTTTCTTGTGTTTCTACTCAGATACCGATTGCTTTATGTATTCATATATTATTTCAACTAGGGGAGCTTATCCACTATTAGAATTCTTCAGAACACTTTTTTACGATTCGGCATCATAATTAAAGCCAGAGAAATCACCTTTCATTACATTAATTATCATTTAACAAAGAGTACAGATTTTTCTATTAAGAATATACTGGTTCCCATGAGTAATCAATCTAAGCTAGACCACCATTGAAAACCCTGAAGCACTAGACCACCGAATTAACCAATTGTGGGACTTCTCAGCAGTGCGATTTACGAACTCGCACGAGAGACTAGAACACTGGTTCATGATTGTGCACTGCTAAGCAAAATCACAATAAATCGAATCAGCTATTGAGTGCTCCCAGACTTCGTTGAAGGTCTGGCTTAGATTGACTCATGACTTTAACTGTGAAAATGCTACAATCCCCACAAATCTTCCATACTGATAAAAAGATACCAATCAAAAACTAGTTTTTTCCCATTGATTCATTATTTTTATTTGAATGTTACAGAGTCATTACTGAGACTCTGATGACAAATTTAGTTAAGATGGTGAAATGTACTTGAAGCTCAGACAGAAGATTTTCAAGACTTTTTGTTCTCCGAGCTGGACAGTTTAACCATCAAGCTTTCATTTTCTTCTTCGATAATATCATCAGCACGCACTTTAATATGGAGTGTGTTATTACATTCCTCTACAATTAACTAGCTCCTTGTTTTTGAAACCTAGAATTTTGTTTGTTTTTAGTTCTTATAGGTGTGTGGACGTTACTTGCATGTTTTTTCGATTGTTTTTTCCTTTCATTTGATTTCTGGCTTGAGGTTGTTAATGTTTTTCCAGCTCACAGAATTATTTATCCTCAAAATCATAGTGCTGTCGAAA